GGGGGGTACCAGTGTCGCTGGGCAGAGCCGGTGGCTGAAGCAGGAGCACAGGGTGATGCTCGGCAGGACGGGGGGTACCAGTGTCACTGGGCAGAGCCGGTGGCTGAAGCAGGAGCACAGGGGGATGCCCAGCTCCCTGGTTTGCCGTCGCCCGACCGGCACAGGGTGATGCCCAGCTCCCTGGTTTGCCGTCGCCCGACCGGGTCTCGCCACTGCTCGGGCTCTTTGGGGCCGGTTTGCGCCATCCCTCTGCCAGGCTGAGTGCAGCAAGCAGCCGGCAGCGGATCAAGTAGAAAAAAGACGTTCACAACGTTAATGAAAGCTTTGACAAAAGGGAAGCAAGGGAAACTATTGTCTCCTCGGCCTTATTCTCATAATGTCTGTGTGTAATAAGTCTTTCGGTTATGCTTGTGGCTTCGGTGACAAAGCAGTGATTTAGGGGGCTGTCTTTACGGAGGCAGAGCCGCTCACACGGGCCAGAGTGCTGGCGAGCAATCTTTTACCACAAATTGTTGTAACTGGAGCTTGACAACTGCAGTAGGAAGGAGGGTGGGGGGTTTGCGTTTGATTTATTAAATGACTTGCTGCAATTTGCGAGAGCGAGCTTTATGCTAGCGCGGCCACGAATTTGCAAATCCTGCAAGTAAAAGTCCATGGGAGTGAAACCAGGGAGGGAAAAACTCTGTGTTTGTCTGCCAGGATCCCCAGAGGTCTCCCGGGTTGGCAGGAGGCACACACGCATCCCAGCTGCACGCTGGCATCTCCAGCTGACGGCATCTCGGGATGCCCGGGAGCCTTTCCCGCACGGCCCTGGGGCACTATCCCAGTGGGACCGGGGTCCTGTCTTTTGATGTGGACATCGAGTCATTCCTTTAGGCAGTGGTGCTTTCTGTCTCAGCCTTACAACCATGCTGGAGGTTAAAGGGATGTTTTCCTAAACCCGACCTGTGAAGCATCTTGAGGATGAGGTTTGAAGAGGGAGGGAGGAAGGCTGCTGCTGGGGTTTGCATCCCTGTGAAAATTCAGGTCATGTTTACTACAGGCAGCTGGAAAACGATGATCTCAGATGCTAACAAGTAACATCTGAAGGGAAGCGTTAAGACATTCAAACTGTTTTGTAAGCACCTACTTTACTTTTTTTCCAAAACCAGTTTAGCTATTTTTAAAATATTCATTTGTCCCCTGAAGTACCTGCTCTGGGCTTATCTGAAATAAGTGAAAAAGAACAAGAGTTTGCCCTTCCTTTGCATTTCAAATGAAAAAATGGTTTTGTCGGTTTCTTCAAAAAAAAAAAAAAAAAAAAAGACCCCAAAACAACAAACAAACCCACTGGACGGCTTCCTTTCTGCTTCAGAAAGGACAGACACCTAGGGTCTGAGGGCTTTTTGTCCTTCTGCAAGCTGACCTTGGGTGATTTCTTCTATTTACATGTGGCTGGCACTGGCCTCGCTGGCTGCCCGGGTTCATACAGCCGCTCCGGAGAGGGGTACCGCGGCGTGCAGGGGCGAGCTGTCCTGCCTCGTCCTCTGCTTTACTGGTACAAAGTAGATCTACAATGCCACTGAATAAAAATAATTCTTACCCTGTTGTTCTGGCCTTAGTGCTGTCATAGCAGGGTAAGAGAGGAGGTCATGGGCAATTGATTTAAACCAGGTGGGAAAAATTACTCAAAATTGTTTCTGTGCAGGGAGACATCTGATAGTGCTGGAGTTTTACGTGCTTTTATTTACGTGAACGGTGTGCAGCCTTTGTAATGCTTTTTTTTTTTGCAGTTGCAAATAATGTTTGTTCACTGCTGTGATTGAGCCAGAGTCAAATTCGGAGACAGAATAGCTTCCCGGGACTTTGGTATTTGCGTTACGTCTGTGCCGTTTGTGTGCGTGAGCCCCTCTGTTCTAGGACTTTTGCAACCAGAATGAAAACAAATTGCACTTAATATTTATCAATGGCGTGATGGTTCCTCCAGCAAGGAGCCGATTTGCAAATCTAATGCATGCAGAGATTTGGAATGGAGCAGCATGGCTGCACTACTCCTTGCAGGGTCTGGTGACGCGAGAGGTTGTGGGCTGAGCAGGGAAGAGCATCTCAGGAAGAAATAAGGTTTGAGGGAGAGAAAATTGTCCTTCAGTGCGACTGTGGTGCTACTTAGGAGCTTGATTTCTGATACATGAGCCACCAAGCCTGGTACGGAGAAAGTATTCTGCAATTCGGAGATGATAAAATAATTACATGATTGCGTGCTTCTTGAGGACACGAGGATAATGTTCCCAAGTGCCACCAATTCAGCCACCACTCAGAAGAAAAGGCTCCGTCTAATCAGCCCTCCCAGGGTAAGGGTTTACAAGAGCCCCCTCCAGGTCAGCACTCAGCCACCAGCTTCCAAGCAACTCCTGGAAAAGAATGCAGGATTGCCCAAGCTGCGGGGTAAACACGCTGCTTCAGGAAGGGGCACGTCCCAGCCCCGCTCCCACCAGCCCATCGGGGAGGGGAAGGGGTGGCCGGACCCTGAACAACCCCACGGGGTGAAGGGATGGAGAAGAGGGAAGAAAGTTTTTTCATTTTCTTTATTAAAAAAAAAAAAAAAAAGAAGAAAAAAAAACTTTATTGCAAAACTCAGTGTTTTAGAGTATTTCCAGAGTCCACTAGGGTACATGACAAACAAATCAGCAAATCCTGCTTTGAACGCATTAAAGCCTGCTTCTGGGTCTTCTGCACACACACATACTCACTCGCTCCCCTGCTCGTGCCGCGACACAGACAGGAACAGAAACGTACTGTGAGGTCAGTGACAAACGTATTATTCGAGCTGTATTGGAAAGTGTTGTGTAAAAAAAAAAAAAAAAAAATTAAATTACAGTAGAACCTCGCAAATCTGCAGAACAGGGAGCTTCCACACACACGCAAAACCTGGAGGCCACATTCCACTTCCAAGCAGAGTTGTCAGAGCAAAGTGCTGTAGTGAGGTCTCGTATCACAAAGACTTCAATCATCTTACAATTGTCGTCTACAGAACATTTACCAAAAAAACGCTTGAAGTATCATAAATTAACAATAAATAAAAAGAGTACATCGTAATGCGACAGCGTTCTTTGTTCGTTGACTCACTGGTTCACAAAACTCGAGTTCTCTGTAAGGGGTCTTCCAGTCCTGGGTGCAACGCAGCGAGGTTCTGCTGGCTCTGATAAAGTGCTGAGGCAGAGGAAGGACACGAGACCGTGGGTCTCGGGCAGTGAGGATGAATTGCTCTAGCCACTTGGTTGCAAGAGTGCCTTTTTTTTTTTTTTTTTTTTTTAAATTTTCCTTTTGGACATTTAAGATGGAAAAAAAACCCAAATCAAGCACCTTCCCAAAAAGTGGTTGTGTTTTTTTTTGTTTTTGTTTTTTTTTTTTTTTTTAAACAGATTGTCCCACATTTTTATGGCTGGTAAAAATACAGACAGGTCAGCGTAGCAGTTAATGCGTGATGCCACTTCCACGTAAATACACAGAAATGTTGGTTTGGGTTTTTTTTTTTTTTTTTCCCCCCAAACCAAACCAGACTTGTTTGATTTGTCCCCCTGAGTTGCCTAGAGGCGGTAAGATGCAGAGAGGTGGGGTAAGCAAGCTTGTGTCAGCGGGAGGAGGAATCCCTCCTGTTAAAGTTAAGACTAACTGAACAGCTACGGTACGGTGTCTCTGATCATTCCCTTCATGCCTTCGATGTGCACAGGCTCTGCTTCACTTCTCACTGAAGTCAGCAGCAAAAAAAACAAAAAAAAAAAAAAGAAAAAAAGAAAAAAACGAAAAAAAAACCCCAAAAAACCAACCCCTCTTGCTGACTTTGGGGGAGCCGGGGAAGGGGGTAGGGCTCAGACCCCTGCCCTGTGCCCGATGCGGGGAGCAGAGTGTGAGGGGCTGGGTACCGGGGGGTTTCCACATTTCTTCAGTGATGCAGCAAAGATCTCTTCGTGCTCCTGTGAGTGAAGGGCTCAGGTACGTTAAGACATACTGGGCCAAATCCTCCCTGCGGGGTGGGCAGCAGAGCTGGGTCCATGGACACCAGCTGAGGCCTCATGAAAGAGATGCTGGATCTGTAGTTTATTTTTTTTTTCTTTTTTAAATAAAAAAACTGTGTTACCTAAGACCTACCTATTAAAACCAGCTATACCCTATGCTGTAAGAGTTAAGTTTCCCCAACAATTTCACAAGCTAGCAAGACAAGATAGGTGTTGCAGAGATGGATGTAAAGACAGCTTTCCGTTATGGAAAAAAGATGATTTTTCCTCTCCAGTTATTTAAGCTAACCTCCTTTAACAATCTTAGAATAAATTAATAAATACTAGTTAAATTAGAAACAGTACATCAATAGAGAAAAGTTCTAAGGATACCCATCGGGAGAAGAAAAATGATCTTACAAAATATGTGCAGTAATAACTGGCCATAAAGACATCCAGAGCCTCTGATTTCCCAGCATTTGTGATGTTCAAGTTAATTAGAAGAACATTAGCCATGGTTTAAGTCAGCTACCTAGCCTAGCCTCCTCCTCAAATCTAAAACATGAGTCCGTATTCTTCCAGAAGAAGATTCAGGTGGCTACTGGGGGTGTACAAAATGCTCGTCCCCAGTTCATATCATCGGTTTCTTGACTGCGTGGAATTTGCGGTAGGGGATGGGTGAGGACAGTCAGAGGCTGGGCTGCTTCTGCTGTTGCTGTTCTCAGTTTTTCTGGGATCAGTCGAACCTTTACTTTTAGTTCTTGTCAGGAAAGCAGGAGTGTGCATCACATCTTCATGCTAGACAGAAGTTATGCTTATGTGGCTATCGGTATTTTCTATGGAGCTTTCCATTGTTGGTTAAAAAAGTTCGTTCTAATAATTAAAAAAAAAAGGTGTTGGTGGCAACTGTTCACATTTAAAATTTCACATTCCCTTTAGAATGCAGTTTTAAAACGTGGAGCAGAGCTGACATTTTCCCCAGTCTGACACCGAGTACGTTAGATGGAGAAGGAACAGGGGTTTTTTTTATGCCACGCTGTCACAGCCTTTTCCTGAATTTTCTGCTTTTCCAATATCCATTTCAATAAAGTCCTCTGGTAGATCCGGTACGACCTCCGCCACGCTCTGCTCTGCGCACTGCTGCTGGCGGCGGCACAGCCCAGCCTTGCACGGTCTCACCAGGGACAGAAACACGGCACCCAGGACCATGCCAGCAGCACAGGAGTAGAAGGCTGAGCTGTAGTTCTGTGTCGTATCCACTAAGACACCTACAGAAAACACATTTCCAGCGTTAGCCACCACCGACTCTCCTCTCCCTCGCCCATCCATCCCTCCTATAGGATTTTTACTCTGGGTACCACTGCATCATTTTATTTGCAGCCAAAAGATAATGACAAACAGATGCTGCCTTAAAAAAAAAAGTAAAAACATTGTGTTCAGGGGTACACAGGGTCACCTTCAGGCAAGCCAGGAGCCTTTGGGCACTGCAGGGATGCTCGGGGTATCTATTTATTCTGATGGAGGCTTCACCCCACTGCAGTGTGTGGTAGAAACACGTGCGCAGTGTGAGCGATTCGTTTCTGCCGCTCGCTAGAGCCTGAAGCGCTGCCAGTTTTTGGTTTCTACCAGGAGCAGGGGAGCACTGCAGCATTTTCCCTCGCTCTGAGGTTCCTCGGTGGAGGCTGCCTCAGCCGCGGGACTCTGCAGAGCTGCACTGCAGCAGCCTCCTGGCTCCCACAGCATCCTTCTGCCAGTTGCAGGGTTTTTAGGATAGCGCTGTGATTAGCGCTGCCAGGACACTTTCTAGGCAGAGAACAGCACCAACAGCTGTCAAACACATAAAAAAAAAAATTAAAAAATTTAGAGTTACCTGCAAGGGGTGGTCCGGCCAACCCAGCTAAGCTTTGAATGAAGACGTAGACTCCAGCTGCAGAAGACATCTTTGCGATGCCAACCACGTCGTCTTCTGCCAGGAGGGGAATATGCGTGCCCGCCACTGTTCCGAGCATGAACCCAAAAAATATGCTACATGTCATCAAGCCCCAGAATTCCGAGGCGAAAGGGAAGGCAACCAACGCTACGGACAGCAGGACGACGCAGATGAGTTCGATGTAGATCTTGCGGATAGGCTTTTTGTTGAGAACCCAGCCAGCTGAAATTCTTCCAAAGACCTCCGCGATGGCCATGGCGGACAGGATGTACGCTGAGTGGTCTTTGCCGATGCCAAGGCTGCGACTCAGGGGAATGATGTAGAGGGAGGGAGCGAAGAAGCCCAGGGTAGCAAAGAGGCCAAAGAATGCATAACAGATAAAGCTATAGTCTCTCATCACAGAAAAGTCCAGTAGTTTGGTTTTTGGTTCTGGAGGGGTGCTGTTATGTTCAACATGGATCTGCACGTGTTCCTTTGGTTCTTCACTTTTCGGCTCTGCTTTGGTTTTTCCAGGCACGTTGCTGGGTGAGGTAGTTATTTCTACTCCTGAGTCTATGGACTCGATTGAGGTGCGTGTTTGCTCATTTTCAAGCATGTACTTGGTCTCCGTGGGCTCTTCGGGAGGCTGCGCTTTCACTTCTTCTTGCTCTTTGATGACGATGGGTCGCAGCAGGGATCCGCAGATGACGATGCTCAGCTGCAGCACCCCCACAGAAAGGAGGCTGTATCTCCAGCCGATCTGCTCCTTCAGAGCAGTAATTGCTGGGGGAAGAGGGCAGAAGAAGAAAGTGTAACTAGAAGAGCCTGTGGTTGCACCAAAGAGCTATTTGAATTTACAGCTAGAGAAGTAACCGAAACTTAATTCAGGTGCGGGTGGTGAGGCAGTGGCCCAGGGTGCCCAGAGAAGCTGTGGGTGCCCCATCCCTGGAGGGGTTCAAGGCCAGGCTGGATGAGGCTTTGGGCAACCTGGGCTAGTGGGAGGTGTCCCTGCCCATGGCAGGGGGTGGGACTGGATGGGCTTTAAGGTCCCTTCCCACCCAAACCATCCTGTGATTCATCACTGGAAGGTCCCAAGCAGCAATCGCAGAGGCTGAGCAGGGTCCCTCCTGGTCCATCCTGGCCAGGGCCACCCAGCATCTGGCACCCACGTTCCTCCCATTGGCTGCCGCAGACAAGAGCTAGAAGTTGCATTTAAGGTCTGGCTAGCAGGAGCTATCCTCTCAGTAGCCACTTTTGAGGTCCTGGCAGGTTTGGGATGCACAAGGACACCAGTGGCGTTATTTTTAGTGAACGAGAACAAACTCAGCAGCCGAGTTTCCTCTCTCAGCTGACCCCACCCTGAAAGCAGCTACTAGAGGAAGTCTGAGCTCTACTCAAAGGTGCATGTCGCTGCGTCACTACAAACCTTCATTTGCAACCAAAGCTGCTCTGCGATGGGCAGGATCTGAAAGCCAGCATGCACAGCACAGGAGCACCCGAACCGCAGAGGACAGGCGGTGACAGGGACGTGACAGGGTCCCCAAAAGGCTGGAGCTGTTTGGCAGCTCGTGCTAAGCACAAGCCCACTAACCTTTAGGAGCAGTTATGTATACTGCTTGTGTTTTAAATAGCTGAAGTTTCTCGGTCTTATTTTTAGCCTGCTGGATCTATATAGGGAGCTCAGCGGGCTCCGGATCGGTGCGGCACGTCCTGCTCTGGCAGGCGAGGCTGGGGACAGCTCAGGCATCGTTAGACCAGCGCCTAGGATTACTTGTAACGCTGCCTGCAGGGCATGAGTGCCACGGGCATGCGAGCAACTGCCTTGTGGGCTTTAGCGGCTCATGGGAAGGTCCCCGAGCACCCCGGTGTTGATGGCCTTTGGCTCGTGTTTGCTTGGGAAAAGGATTGGAGCGGTACTGGCCTTTAGGCATGCACGTATGAACCCGCAGCGTTCGGGCACTGTACCTGGTGCAAAGGAGAAAACAGCAAAACATTCCCCTGTAGATGCCACTGCTGTGACCAGCGAACGTCTTTTGTCAAAATACTGTGATAAAATGGTGACAGTCGGGAGGAAAGAGAGGCAGTATCCAAGGCCTGTGAATAAATGCCAAAAATTGCCATAACAACAAGTAAGGGAGGGGGAAACACCGATGCGAGAACACGTTAAGTCAGCTTTCCCGGTGGCGAGATTACAGTATCATTTCGGCCAACTCAGCAAGTCACCCTGGAAGAAAATCATTGGGGAAACCAAAATGTTATTTTTTTTTAATTGGATGTGGGGAAGATTAAAAAAAAAAAAAAAAAAGAAAGAAAAAACAAAACAACAGACCCAACCCCCCCAAACCTGCTAGATAATGCCTTCTGTTCCCCAGCAGCCAGCAGGTCCGCTTTGAGGACCTCATCTGCCTAAAGAGCTTGAGCCGGTAGCAATTGCTGCCCTAAGCGAGGCAAGCTCCTGGGCACGGGTGTGAGTGGGACAAACAGGACAGATTGGAGAGACAGAAGACAGAAAGATAAACAACAGATAAATGACAGAAGATAAAGAAAAGGCAGAGTTACTGAATGCCTTCTTTGTCTCTGTCTATACTGTTGGAGGCTGTCCTGAGAAGCCCCCTACCCCTGAAGCCCCAGGTGAAAAATAAAAGAGAGAGAGAGGGAGAGGTTGGAGGGTTTGACCCATGGACAGCTTTCATCTCCCCAGCGATCCCGGTCCACCAGAAGCAATCAGTGCAGCTGAGCTAGCGCCGTGGCTGGAGGACCACATCCCAAGGTGGTCCCAGGGTGACACAGGCACAAAGCCAAGCCTTGAGCCCCGCTCGCCACCTCTATGGCAACAGGAAGGTCAGCTCAGAAGGGGCAGCAGCGCTTCTCAAGCACCCCCAGTGTCCTGGGGGGTCAAAGTCCCCTGGGCAGAGCCACGCTTGCGGGAAGCTGCGGGAGCGAGCGAAGCGTTCGGCAGGTGCGGGAATAGGAGAACTCACCGGAGATGACACCGATGGTGATGTACATGTCCACAACATTGCGGGCGAAGGAGGCAGTGACCATGCCGGTGCTGATCAGCACCCCTCCGGCCATCACCACCAGGCGGTGACCAAAGCGATTGCTGAGGACCGTTGACAGAGGAGCTGGATGAGTGGGAGAGGAAAAGAGCCACAGTCAACACTCACATCAGCAACTTCACCAGCTGCCACCTCCTGCAGAGCCTCTTCTCGTCCCCCTGCCCAGGCCCCTGGGACATGCCACCTCCCCTGCCAGCTGTCCCCACGCAGCAGAGCATCACCCCGGAGCCATCCTCGGAGCACTGCAGAGCTCACAGCATTTAGAATCTAAAAATCATCAGAAGAGACTAAGACAGGGGCCAGACCTGCAGCAACATCCACAGGCACCAGTGGATTTCAGCGAGGCTCTGAAATTTTCCTAATGTTTCTAAAAAATACTCTAAAAATATTTCTAATCCTTTTCACACCAGAGTTAGGTTTCAAAACTTGTTTTTAGCCCTTGCTAATGAGAACCGAATGGCCAGGCCAGGCTCAGCGACACAGACCACGTCCCTGTACCACGCAGAAGGATGCGAGCTGGGGCACAAAGGGACTGCTGGGCTGAGACAGACATTTCTTAGTATTTCAGGAGCACACAGCCCCTGGGGTTTATGGCTGTTATCTCTAACGGAGCCATTAGAGACGGTCACAGGTACCAGGTCCTCGTACGCTGAGTCAGCAGTAGCCCTGCCCCTTGCACCCGCGCCCAACGCCCGCGACTCTCACCTGTGAAGGTCTGGACAAACACACAGATGGATATGATCCAGGATATCCTGCTGTTGGTTTCGTCAAAGCTTTCCATCAGGTCATTAAAGAAGACGCCAAACGATTTTATAATGCCGTATGTTAGGGCTTCCACAAAGAAGAAAGCAAACGCAACTGTCCATCCCCATCCTCCGTCAGGCACTTTAGGATAAACATTGGGAGCGGTGCACGGCATTTTTACAGCTTTGACAGTCATTTTTGATCTGGAAAAAGATGGGAGAAAGAGCCAGGTATCAGTTTAAGATTAATTTTGCTGAAAGAGGCATGGCCCAGCAGCTGGAACATCCCTGTCCCTGTGCTGGGGTGGGTTAAATGCCGGACTTGGGCTGAAGTTTCTGCCTTTGTCACCCTGTGGGTCTCGCTCCTGCCAGCGCTCTTTGAGCCCAGGAGCAGAAACTCTCTGCTCAGCACCCGGGCGAGTTGTTCCCATCAGCAAAACCCAGCGCCCGGGAGCTGTCATCTGTGTTTGGGTGCGCGGGGGCGGATGGATGCAGTTCAGGAAAGATCCACTGCAGGCTCCTGG